TGTCGATTTTCACTTCACTTTCACTTCACTTTCATTCGATTTTTACTTCACCTTCACTCTACTTTCAATTTATTTTCACTTCATTTTCAGTCGATATTCACTTCACTTTACTTTCACTTCACTTTACTTTCACTTCACTTTCTCTGTATTTTTAATTCATTTTCAGTTCATTTTCTGTCGATTTTCACTTCACTTTCACTTCATTTTCAGTCGATGTTCACTTCACTTTTATTCGATTTTTATTTCACCTTCACTCTACTTTCAATTTATTTTTACTTCATTTTCTGTCGATTTTCACGTCACTTTCACTTCACTTTACTTTCACTTCACTTTCACTTCAATTTAACTTGATTTTCATTCGATATTCACTTCACTTTCACTCCAGTTTAAAGTCCTTCCCCTTTATCACTTTGAAGTGAATAAAGTTAAAGGGGAGTGAAAGTGAAGTGAATATCGAATGAAAGTGAAGTGAAAGTAAAGTTAAATTAAAATGAAAGTGAAGTGAAAGTGAAAGTGACGTGAAAATCGACAGAAAATGAAGTGAAAATAAATTGAAAGTTGAGTGAAGGTGAAGTAAAAATCGAATGAAAGTGAAGTGAATATTGAGTGAAAAGCGACTGAAACTAAAGTGATATGTGAAGTGAAAGTGACGTGAAAATCGACGGAAAATGAACTGAAAATGAATTAAAAGTAGAGTGAAAGTGAAGTGAATATCAAATAAAAATCAAGGAAGAGTGAAGTGAAAATAAAGTAAAAATGAAGTGAAGTGAAAGTGAAGGGAAAGTGAAGTGAAAGTGAAGTGAAAGTGAAGTGAAAACGAAGTGAAAGTTAAGTTAAATTGAAATGAAAATCTACCGAAAATGGAGACAAAGTGAAAAGAAACAAAAAGTGAAAGTGAAGTGAAAATCGACTGAAAATGAAGTGAAAGTGAAGTGAAGTTACAAAATCGCACCCTTGCTGTACCAGAATTTTGTCACTGCCGGAAATCGATCTTAAGAAACATATTATACCACTTTTAAAAATAAGTTGCAATCTTCGGCTTCTTTTTTTTCGGTAAGAAGTCCTAGTTTTTTTTTTTTTTTTTTTTTTTTTATAAATTTTTTTTTAGTGATGGAATTTTTTTGGCACAAAAAGTGCAGTTCGATGGCTTAACTATAAATCTGTTCATGCGGAGACAATTTATGTGGTAGGCAGTGGCTTGTCGACGTAAATAATGTGAGGGGCACATAACGGAGACGTGCGAGACGTATTAGTATTGTTACGTAGGCGCCGTTCGCTTTTGGGGTCAATGGGATTTGAATGCGGTTGTGTGTATGTGGTATAACGGCACTGAACGGTACGAACAGAACGGAAACTGCGCAATCCGTCGATGATGCATTGGAATGCTAGTTATTCGCGCGAGGCACTTGAACTATTCCACTCCGCATACTGACCAAATCGTTCGAACCTCCCTTCACCTATAGAGAGAGAGAGAGAAAGAGAGAGGATTCGTATTTTCGGTATTTTCTATATTGCACCACTTTTGTGCGCATATCTAATATTGGCAAAGCATTGAAGCCCTCTCTTCTCACCACCTTCTAAACAGTTTACTTTATACTGAAAACGTGCATTGAACATTTATTTACTTCTTCATATATACCCTTATAACTTCTGAAAATTCAACCCTTTTCACTATATCTATTTTCACTTAAACAAATATTGAAGTTTTCGCTAGTTGAATTATAAGGATAAATGGTTTTTACATGTGTTTAAAATTTTTATTTATTATTATTTTTTTTTTTGAAAATATGGAGAAAAAAAATGTTTACCAGGAATAATGAAAGTTTTTGCTATTCTAGAGAAATATATCGCTGAAGATTTTTTTTCCAAGCTTTAGTAGTATGAGACATTTTTGGTCAGACAGAAAGGTTTAACTTTTTTTTTTACTTTTATTGTGTCAGTAGTAAAAGTAAATATTGGTCGAACAACATTGTAAAATTCTTTTCATATTTTGCTGTAGTAGTAAAAGTAAATATTAGCCAGACAACGTTGTAAATTTTTAAGATTTTTTTTTGGTTATAAAGTAGTAAAAGTCAATTTTAGTCCGACAAAAAGAATATAATTGCGTACGATTTTAAATAATCAGTAAATATACAGTAAAAGTAAATTTAAGTCGTGACAAAATTAAAAACGTTTAATTTCAAATGATGCTTAATTTTCAGTAGTTAAATTGAGTTTTAGTCAGACATATACAAACTTTTCTTAATATAATCCCTACATTCGCGCGCCAACACCCATTATTTTCCATTTTAATGATTAATTTTTTAAACGCTTGCATATATTAAAATTATTCAAATTTTATCTAAATTTTTAAGGTTATATTCGTTTCTTGGTTAGGGGAATTTGAAGTTATGTTTTGTTGGACATAGCCTCAAAAACCCAACGGTCCCATGACCTATGTCCTTGAATTTTGAGGTTATGTTTGAACTATAAGGCCTTGAATCCTGGTAACCTATGCCCTAAAATTTTGAGGTTATATTTGCACAGAAAATTAAAAGGCATTAAAATAAGCTGCAACGTTTATTATTTTAATCCAATTTTGCTTATTTTAATCCATTTTGTTATTAAAATAAGCAAAATTGGATTAAAATGATAAGCGTTGCAGCTTATGTTAATAACTTATAATTTTCTGTGTGATCTCTGACCTTGAATCCTAGAAACTATGCCCTTGACTCATTCCTACCCTAACCTAACCTTACTCTAGCCTACCCTAACCTTACTCTAACCTACCCTAACCTAACCTTACTCTAACCTAACCTTACTCTAACCTAACCTTACTCTAACCTACCCTAACCTTACTCTAACCTAACCTAACCTTACTCTAACCTACCCTAACCTTACTCTAACCTAACCTAACCTAACCTAACCTAACCTAACCTAACCTAACCTAACCTAACCTAACCTAACCTAACCTTACTCTAACCTACCCTAACCTAACCTTACTCTAGCCTACCCTAACCTTACTCTAACCTACCCTAACCTAACCTTACTCTAACCTAACCTTACTCTAACCTACTCTAACCTTACTCTAACCTAACCTAACCTTACTCTAACCTACCCTAACCTTACTCTAACCTAACCTAACCTAACCTAACCTAACCTTGTCAAAAACATGGGTTGGGTACACTTGACATGAAATGACCCATACAGAGACTATTTAGCGAAATAAATAAAATTTCAAAAAAAAAAGAAAAATAAAAAAATGAAAATATAAACATACGTGTGATGTTTTCTACATATAATTATAAAATCGTGAAAATTTTATGAAAAACATCGTGTTCCTACGGATGACATTCGTGAGTATACAATTAACACAACATGGTAAATTCACACCGTTACTTCGTTATATGGCCACTCAGGATATTAAACGATAAAGTACCGAAGTAGTGCCAGGTCAGTGACTACATATATATATATATATATATATATGTATGCTGTTGGCCGATTTGCGTGCGTGGTCCTCTCAAACTCAGAGAGAGAGAGAGAGATAGAGAGAGAAAGAAAAGGATGGAAAATATGCGCTACGGGAAAGACCAGAGTCGCTAATAAATTTCTATGCAAAACACTGTAAGTAATTCGTAGTCGGGCTTTTCGCACTTAAAGTAGACATGGGGGATAATAATTCTAGCGTTTATGGCGAGGGAAAAACAACACCCACTCCTATGTCCGCAATGCACCTTATAATTTATAAAGGTTTGTTTTAAGCCCGGTTATTATTATTTTTATTTTTTTTTTCTTTATTTCTTTGACATTCATACATAATATATCGCTAGAAAAAAGGTTCTATACCTTTTAAATAACATTAAAATACAATTTTATTCATGTAGCATTTGCATCTTTGAAATCGAGATAATTTTTTTTTTTTTTTTTTTACTAAAAAACAATTTTTTCTTCCCTCTATAATATTTATTGTTACATTTAAAGATGAACGTTAACATAACCTTAAAAATGAAAAATTTTGTTTTAACAATTTAAAGCAATGAAAATTACGATTAAAATTAATTGTAAACAATTTTAATAGATTTTGTTACGGATTTTGCAGAAAAATGATGTTGATTCAAAATATATTTTTTTAAAATAATTATTATTATAATTATAATTATTTACTAAATAAAATTTCAATTTATTACTATTTTACTGCAAAATGCATAACAAGATCTTCTAAAAAATTGATTAAAATTAATTTTAATCATTTTCATTGTGTTAAATTGTTAAAAATTAATTTCTCAGTTTTTAGGTTATGTTAACCTATTTAAAAAGAAATTTCTCAGTTTTTAGGTTATGTTAGCCTATTTAAAAAGAAATTTATCACTTAATTCTTTTCAAAACTAAAGTCAGATCTTTTTGTTTACTGATTATTATGAATATATATATACATATCCGAGAATGATAAATTGTAAGGTTTTGATAATTTGTTTTTGTAAAAAATGCGCGCACGCGTTTCAACTTTTATGTCATTTTTCATGTCCCTGGCTAATTTTTCAAACGATATCTTTCATAAAAAAAAAAAAAAAAAAATTCCAACCAGTTTGCGTGTAACAGTAGATATGCTTTTTTTTTTTATTTGCGTGTCATATAAGCTTTGAAAGCATTCAGGGATAAGAAAAGTAACTCAATCAACGGATTTCCACCGTAAATCCGTATGATAATAAAAAAACTGTAACTAAATTATGTATTATTTTATTTTTAATTATGATACATGATGGAATTAATTTATTTTTTTTATATAAACAATTTTTTTTATAAAAAGAAATTTTTTTATATAAACAATTTTTTTTATAAAAAGAAATTTTTTTTATATAAACAATTTTTTTTATAAAAACAATTTTTTTTATAAAAAGAAATTTTTTTTATAAAAAGAAATTTTTTTTTATAAAAAGAAAAAAATTTTAATTTTGAAACAAATAAAAAAAAAAAAAAGAGTGAAGTTAGTGAACATTCGTAACAACGTTCAGTTTTTTTTTTTCATTGACATAATCAAAACAAAGGTTCTTTTTGATCATTTTACTATTTAGAAAAATTTTTGTGAAAAATTACCAGTGAATAAAAAATATTTTTCTATTTTATCCAAACAAAATTGTTTTTTCATTGATATTTGTGAAAAAAAAAAAGATGGCAAAAAAAAGTTTAAAAACGAAAAGAAATACTCGTCAGCCAAAACCTTTGAAACTTGCAACTCTCGTTGTTTCTGCCATTGAAGAGCTTAAAGAATCAAAAGGTGCAACACCAAGAAAAATTGTCGGTTATCTTACATATGCAACTCAACTTCCAGTGGCGAAAATAAAACGACAAGTGAATTATAATTATTTTTTTTAAAAAAAACTTTTATTTCTCATAAATATATAACATTTTTTTGTTTTTTCGAATTAATAAAAATTAATAATTTTTGAAAAATAAATAGGTGAATTCAGTATTAAAAAAAGGAGTACAATATGGAATTTTACGAAGATTTCGTGGACATTATTATTTACCAAAATGTGATCCATTAGAGAGAGCAAATAAAATTGCCGAAAGATTTGCCCAATTACCAAGTGTTGATTCAGTTGAATTACTTTCAGATTTTCTCTATCCACTATCTGATAATGAAAATAATAATGACAATAAACAAGAATTAAAATCAGCAATGAAAAATTTCAAGAACGATACAAATAATGGAAGTGTTCGATTTAATTTCAATAATAATAATCAACATTCACAAAATTGCAATTGTAATAATATAAATGATGAAAATTTTGATGACGTATTATCTCTCATGAATTTGGACGACTAAAATAAAATAAAAAAAATAGTTTTATGTCTTTTTCAAAAGGTATTTTTTTTAACAAAAAAAAAAAAAATTGTGAAAGTTTTCTATTTGTAAATAATTAAAAAATTATAGTATTGTATATTAAAAAAATTATTATTGAAATATTTTTTTTTTCTCTTTTCATTGTAGATTAAAATTTAATTAAATTTCACAATTTTCAATTATAACTTTTTTAATGAAATATTTCTTTAAATAAAGAAAAAAAAAAAAAAGTGGAATATCTTATGCGGGGGGAGATGATGACAAAATTAAGAGTTAAATCCGCATTAAAGATTGAAATGTGCAAGGATTTGAAGAAGAGAGTTTTCAATTATAGAATCAGAAAGTTGGTCTCTCTCTCTCTCTCTCTCTCTCTCTCTCTCTCTCTGTCTCTCTTGTTTCACCACGTGGCTTCTTCGTAGTCTAGTAAAATGAGAAACGAGTTTTTTTTGTAAATTACGCCACAAGAAGGCTAGCCGAGAATGGGTGGAAGCGCCATTTATAAAAGTTAGGAGCTTCTTATACCACGGCCGATAAAGTTAATAGCCCTCCAAAATTTACTGGTTTGGTCGAAGGTGAATTTCAGTCTCGATGGTCTCTGCAGCTCCAACAACGATTGACGATCTCTTCTCTTCTCTCTTTCTCTCTCTCTCTCTTTCTGTAATTCTAGAACAGAATTTGTTAACGGATTACCCTGAAAAATTGTTATTGACTATTTTTCTACATACATTGAAAAAATTATATTCTAAATTTAAGAATACACGAAGAAAAATGTATAGAAAACAAATAAAGTGACTTTTACTATTTAAAAAGTAAAAACGGAACTGTCTGCTGTTTCTGTCAATTTTTACTTCAGAAATAGTAAAATTTACTATTCCCGGAATAATTTTTATACTATTTCAGGAGTAATTTTTCTACTATTTCAGTAGTAATTTTTACTATATTCGGAGTAAATTTTACTATTTCTGAAGAAAAAAAAATTGACAGAAATGCGCAGAAACTGCGGACAGTTTAGGTTTTACTTTTAAGGCAGTAAACGTTACTATATTCGTTTTTTCATTTTTCTCCGTGTATTATTTTTTTGGTGTATTATAAAATAATAAAGGACCATTCATTAATTACGTAAGGAAAATTTTTGCTAATTTTGACCCCCCCCCCCTACCCCCCATGTAAGAATACATAAGATTTTACGAACCCCCCCCCTCCTCCTTCTTACGTAAGTTTTTAACAATATTAATGTAATTAAAAAATTAATTACAACAATACAAATGGAAAATACTTGGCAAAATCTTACGTAAGAATAGCTTCTACCACCACTGACGTAAGACCATGTAGAGATTTTATTACCCCCCCCCCCACCTCCCCCTAAGGACACTTACGTAATTAATGAATAGCCCCTAATCAATGGAAAATTATATATTATTAATTTAAAAATAATCTTCTTCGTGCCTATTTAAAATTATTTCCTATTCTTACAGTAAGAATATAATATTTTTAAAATAAGAAAATTAAGAAATATTCTGAACAAAAATTCTTAATTTAAAAAGTTGTTTCTTATTTTAAGAATATTATTTTCTAATTGTAAGAATATAGGAAATATTCTTAAATAGCCGCAAAGAAGATTATTCTTAAATTTAGAATATAATTTTTTTCAGTTATTATTATTTTATAATAAATCAAAAAAAAAAATATTCTAAAATTTAGAATATATACTTGGAATTTTAGAATATTTTATACTTAAATTCAGTATATAATATACTCAAAAATTAGAATATACTCTTGGCCATAGTAACTAATGCCACAGTAACTAATGCCACAGTAACTAATGCCGCAGTAACTAATGCCGCAGTAACTAATGCCATAGTAACTAATGCCATATAGTAAATTATGCCACAGTAATGAATGCCACAATAACGAATGAAATAGTAACTAATGCCACAGTAACTAATGTTATCACAGAAAATTAAAAGGCATTAAAATAAGCTGCAACGCTTATTATTTTAATCTAATTTTGCTTATTTTAATATCAAAATCGATTAAAATAAGTAAAATTGGATTAAAATAATAAGGGTTGCAGCTTATTTTAATGGCTTTTAATTTTCTGAGTATATATATTCTTATTTTGAGAATAATATATATATATATATTGAATTTAAGTATGAAATATTCTTAAATTAAGAATATATTTTTGACGCATATATTTAAGAATATTTTATACTTAAATTAAGTATATAGAATAATATATACTGAGTTTAAATACAAAATATTCTTAAATATACGCCAAAAATATTTTCTTAATTTCAGTTTATGGATTTTTTTGCATAATAAAAATAAATAAATTAGTTACTGTGGCATTAGTTACTGTGGCATTCGTTATTGTGGCATTCGTTATTGTGGCATTATTTACTATATGGCATTAGTTACTGCGGCATTAGTTACTGTGGCATTAGTTACTGTGGCATTAGTTACTGTGGCATTAGTTACTATTTCATTCGTTATTGTGGCATTCGTTACTGTGGCATTATTTACTATATGGCATTAGTTACTGCGGCATTAGTTACTGTGGCATTAGTTACTGTGGCATTAGTTACTGTGGCATTAGTTACTGTGGCATTAGTTACTGTGGCATTAGTTACTGTGGCATTAGTTACTGTGGCATTAGTTACTGTGGCATTAGTTACTGTGGCATTAGTTACTGTGGCATTAGTTACTGTGGCATTAGTTACTGTGGCATTAGTTACTGTGGCATTAGTTACTGTGGCATTCGTTACTGTGGCATTCGTTACTGTGGCATTAGTTACTATGGCATTAGTTACTGTGGCATTAGTTACTATTTCATTCGTTATTGTGGCATTCGTTACTGTGGCATTATTTACTATATGGCATTAGTTACTGCGGCATTAGTTACTGTGGCATTAGTTACTGTGGCATTAGTTACTGTGGCATTCGTTACTGTGGCATTCGTTACTGTGGCATTAGTTACTATGGCATTAGTTACTGTGGCATTAGTTACTATTTCATTCGTTATTGTGGCATTCGTTACTGTGGCATTATTTACTATATGGCATTAGTTACTATGGCATTAGTTACTGTAGCATTAGTTACTGTGGCATTAGTTACTGTGGTAACAGTTAGTTACTATGTCATTAGTTATTATCACAGAAAATTAAAAGGCATTAAAATAAGCTGCATCGCTTACCATTTTAATCCAATTTTACTTATTTTTATTCGATTTTGGTATTAAAATAAGCAAAATTGGATTAAAATAATAAGCGTTGCAGCTTATTTTAATGCCTTATAATTTTCTGTGTACAGAATTTAAGGATAAAATATTCTTAAATATCCGCCAAGAAGATATTTTTAAATTTAGAATATGATTAATAATTTCTCATTCATTGAATGGATATTTAGTGAGATTTTTAGGCATTAAAAAACATTGCAAATAATGAAGAAAGAAAAGTATTATCCATAATAGTTGCGTTAAGAAACGTTTTTCTTTTCTAAATTTCATGGTCGAAATAAAAGTTTTATTTGTAAATTGACTTTCATTAGATTTAGAGAGAAGTCCTCTTAAATTGAATGACTTGACTCTAGAGTGAAAAGAGAAAGAGAGAGAGGGAGGGAGAGAGAAATAGGAAGAAAGAAAGAAAAAAGAGCAAGAGAAATAGATAGTGTAATCAAGCCACTGAAACTTCAAATTACTAGGTGAATGGAATTTTCCAGAATGCTAATGTCCAAACTCGTCAAACTCACAGGGAAATGAAATTTTCTAAAATAAACTCTCTAGGTAATAAATTGCATGGGTCTGATTTTGTAACAATGAGATATTTTGAAGTTAATGAAAATTAAATTTTACAAATTTAACTCTACCTTTAGAATAAGGTAATATCATTTGACAGAAACATTTACCATTCTTCTCTCTCTCTTTTTTTCTCTCTGTCGCTCTCTCAGCATTTCATTTTACTACTAACCATTTTTAAGACGCGCATAAAATTCTATGACCCTCTAAGTAATAAAAAATTTATTTTTACTAGAATCCGAAAAGTTGGTACGCTTAACATAAACTTGGATGGAAAAATATCAGGTTGAATAAATTTACATTCAAAATATTGGCATAAATATATAAATATATATATATATATATATTTATATATAGATGCGTGAAAATATTTAATTAACCTTAAAAAATATATACGATATCATAAATATATACGTTTTGATAAATTTATTTTTCAAGTTATCATTGGAAATAAAGCAAAAATATTACGCGAGCTAGATAAATCGTTCGTCAGTTTTTCATGTTGATTTGTGATATATTGGTGGCATCATTTTGAAATGAAAACTGGTTGTAAAAACTCAGTACCAGTTTATTTCAAAAGTTTTATTGTTGATTCAGTTTTTTTTTTTTTTTTTTTTTTTAAAGGAAATATAATCTGTGCACTGTTATTATCATTTGTTACATGAAAAAGCAAAAAATTATTATTATTATACCATTTTCCTTTGTATCTCGTATAATTATTGTTGACAAATAAAAGCTTTTATCGTTAATTGCGCAATATTAAAAAAAAGAAGGGTATAGAAAAATTGAAATTTTAAAATTAAAATTAATTCATATTGAAATTAAATTAAATCAAAGAGATTTAATGACATTGATAATGTGAATCTCGAGAAGTGAAAGAAAATCGTTTATGGAAATTTACATATATTCCCCTCGAAGCGATTAGCTCGATTAATAATCCATTTCATCTAAAATGAATATAGGAAAATGATCGTAATTTGCAGATACTGGTTATAATAGTAAACGAACACAAATGAGGGGTAAATGATGCATTGTTTAGGAAGATAATCACTTTATATGACAAATATTATAGTGATAATTTTGCCAATCTATGCAAATTAACTTTTTTTTTTTTTTTTTTTTTTTTTATCAATTTTTTCCCCCAAAAAATTCAATGAAACTCGAATTTTACGGTAAAATTTTTTTATTTTTATAACAAATGGTA